CGGTTATTGAAGTGTGCTGTTCCGCGTTGTACATTGACGCTGACCATGAAGAGTGACAATGAAATATTTAAGGACTGCTTTGCCATAGATCGAAACGGTAGGAAATTTTAAAGAATTCAAAATTACCAATTTGAACCTACAGAAACCGTACACAAGGGATGCACTGACAAGAAATACCGATTTTCCACTCTCTGAACGATTTCACCAATGACAGTATTTATTAAAAAATCGTGATATGTTTGAACAAACCAAGATAGATAAAAATAGCACTATACCACATTCGTTAAATTGTTCCCTTCAAATAGGAAAAATCTTTACTACTTAAGAGTTTTGTTTTCCTTTCTGCACACCCGATCTGTAGAATGTTTTCAATAATCGCTTCCTCCTATCCTGTTATCCTTTAACTGACATCTCTTGCGGTTACTTACCCAAAGGAAGAGAAACTAACGTGATTACCTTAGAAAGGTCAGCACCACGTGATGCACTTCAGTGCGCTTGTGTCTAGGGCTATTAAGCAACTAAGAAACGGAAACAGAGTAAGAGAGGGAAGGAGCAATATGGGCGCGCTAAAAATAACGACCCTTCAGTAATCTGCCATTAACAACACTTAAAGCTTGTGAAATAAACTTTGAAAAGTTGAGAAATCCTGTAGCAAACGTATTTACCAAACTCGTGGAACACCGTGAATTTCATCAAATTGGTTGCTCCCAACACGTTTTATAACTATTGTTAGTTAGCTAACTTGAAACTATAATAATGAGTTCCTAATGATAGAACTCTCATCATTTACACAAGCAGCGACAGAAAGCTTTCAAAAGACTTGAGTAACTCATAAATTCAGGCGGTAACGTCTGAAAATGAAAATAGCTTGGATGGGCCCACAGACATACGTAACTTATAAGTAAACATCTAGTTGATCGACAAAGATCGATTATTGTTAGGTAACCACATGGTCACAGGGGTTATTATGCCTTATTATGTATTATTGGCAGAGTGCAACGTGGTTGTTGAATAAGACCCTCAGAACTTCGTTAGCACTCTCGGCCAAAACGCTCCTTATAATAGGAGGAGAACGGAAAACTAGGCTTATTATCTGTCTGTACTGTTCACCTCTCATTTAGCCTGCGACAAAAACATTCATCTGCCCCAGATAGATTATCATAATTACCCGTAAAAATGTTTTGGAAAATGCTCCAAACAGCACTAAACCATCTGATGAATGATGACGTCCAATCATGCAAGATCATAAAGATAGTATCTACATGGGAACATCAACTCTGTTTTGCTTGGCAAACGTCAAATTATGTGAAATGGATCACTATGTGTAGGCCTCATTTTATCATACCTATGCTGATAAGGTAGTGAGTAAAGTCCTGTTAACAAAAATGAATAACTATACATTTCGCAACTAATGAAGGCTATTTAAAGGTAGATAGGTGGAGACTAGTTGTAAAAAATATCTACGTAGAGATGTATCAGCAACATCGACCAATCCATGAAGCCGATATAATAGTCATGTTGTTCGTTGATATCATCGTTATGAAGGCCTATCGCCTTTATCCCTTTCGCTTTAAAAGACAGGTTTTACACATTGAAATAATGAATGTTTTTTAGTTCATAAGATCGATATCAGAAATATGTGTACATGACATAAGGAACAGAGCATAGTTCTTTCTTTTCATTTGAAAAAGAGAATGACGAAGCTCTCCTATGTTTTCCATGACATCAATCACAATGGGATTTTGATTTTAAACTGAAATTCGTTTAGACCACACCACTATCAGATCCGTTTAAACTATATGAGATTCTTCAACTGAAGGCGTTGCTTTATAATACAAGGTTATAATTGTAGTTGGTAAAGAGCGTTAAATGCACACGAACACAATCGCGGAGTGTACGAGGTGGTCCCATGGGGTTTGCGTTTACGGTAGTAGCCTTTGTGTTTAAAGCTATTCATCACAGTTCTGGCTGTCCCCCTTTTAAATCCATTATACCAAATTGAATTCAGGCTATTGTTATTAAACCTCAAGCGTTCATGAAGCGTAAATGATAGTGGATGTTTAGTGTTTGCCATAGGAATATGGCGGAATTGGTATCCATTTTGGTTTATCATGTGATCAATGCTTCTTATGAGCAAACGTTGCTTAAGAAAAACATCAAAATGTCGAAAAGTGCAAACGGTAAGGTCATTGGAAGAAATTGACCGGTGTGTTTTCACGGAAAGCCCCACCAGGCTGGACGGGGTACTGGTTAATTCCGCGAGAATGCATTCGTTCCCAACGTTTTGGGCACATGGACAAATTATGAAACCCTTGAATAAATCTTAGTATCAGGCATTTGTAATGATTCACGTCCGAATCATGTGATTTGGTGTAGCACAATATATGAGGCTTGCCATGCGTACATAAATGTACCACTCAAAAGCTTTTCATCCTGCATCATTTTATGCGGTGTTGCTGTTTTTATTAACTGAGGCGAATTTCATCCAATGTTTCATTTTATTTTTCATTTCCACTTTATTCCTCTGATTTACCAAATTTAATTGGTGACAGGTCAGAACTGCATGAAACTTGTGGTCAGCTAAAATTCCGTTGAGAGGACAGGATAAGACAATATAAGCATCCTTCCAGAGCCATCTTCTTCTTATTGGGCTTCATAGATGAGTTCATGATTTTTTTGAAAGGATCAGTACAAGGTGAAACTTCTTTTCTCTGAAGTTCCGTACGTAGTAGTCTGGCTGGATTCCTCTTACTCAATGTCATCCAAATCATACAAATGTAACTCTCACACCCTCCCACACGGATGTACCGTATTTTACCTCTTCCTTTCTGGGCGGTGGCCGAGAAAACTAGTTTATATCTTTACGGTCGCTAGCCGACAAAATAGTTGGGCGGGTGGTATACCATTCTGTCCATTTAGCTCCGGCAACAGGCTAAAACGTCATGTTGATTTCTGTCATTCAGAAATTGTGAGACTTTTCAAACTCTCCGCATGATTGATCTACCCATCGATTT